CCACTATACATATACATATACATATACATATACATTTACATTTACATTACTATTACATATATATATATTTATATATATATATATATATATATATATATANATATATATATATATATATATATATATATATACATATACACACATATATATATATTTACTAACAGCCCTACATAGTGTTTCTTGATGCATAAGAACCTGCGCTAAATCCCACGCTACACATGCAGGTGCAGCGGAGGAGGAGCACCCTACTGTGCCAATGAATCGAGGGAAAGCCAAACGGAGCAGCACATTGGGACTACGCGGTGCTCGAGGCGCTGGCGGATTATACAAGCGAGGACGAGGACGCGGATCTGATCCTGGGGGAAAGAGACCCAGTACAGACGGCAATAATCAATAAAGTGGAAAGTTGATGAATAAAGGATATCGTATCATTTTCAAGTTGGTCGGTGAAGTATATTAGATCATTTCGAGGTTGGTTGGTATAGTGTAATATATCATTTTGAGGTTGGTTGGTAAAGTATAGTATATCATTTTGAGGTTGGTTGGTGAAGTATATCATTCTGGGGTGTCTCGCTGGAATCTGAGCGTTTCAATCTGTGCACAGTCGTTCGGATAGGTGTGCATATCACTCGGCACTTAGACCCGGAATGTTGTATAAGTGTGCTGAGTTTGGGTTGGGTTTGGGGTTTTCGCTCATAATTACCATACGCAACATGAGTGTCATTCACACCGCTCTATCTTAGGGGCTCCTGTCTCCCTATTAAGATCTGTATAGATATCATCCTCCTTCGCATCAACAACTTAGGTTTCCTGATCATTAGGATAACGTCGATCTCAACTACGGCATATATATCTGCCCCTTGGCACAGTTCAGGGATCGTTTCTGACCGGCTACAACCTAAGGTTGGGTGCAAAAGTGCACCAAATAATACGGTTGCTATTATATTTACTAATATGATTTGACTTCATGCTTTCTCACATGTGTGATATACTACAAGAAGTTTGCACAGCTTTCGTTCGTGATGACATACCACCGGTGGCGTGCGTTTCGTTTCTCCTGTGCAGCATTCTTGCGAAGTGAAGCTGTCTGGCACAGAAGAACGGCCTTGCGCTCTCAATCGCTGTGGTAACCTTAATCACCGCAGTAGGACGGTAAACAACGGCGCTTGTATTTAATACGAGGTATATGAATCTGTGAAGGAGAGGTTTAGATGGAAATCTGATGGTCAAGGGGAAGGGATGGGTGCAGAAGGAAAGATATATATTATACACACATATATATATATACATACACACACACACACACATTATATATATATATATATATTTATATATATATATATACATATATATATATACATACATACATGATTTACAAATAAATAAATATTTATTTATATGTTTATACGTATACATATACATATATACATATATATATATGTGTGTGTATACAATTATACAGAAGAGAAAATATATACAAATATACACTTATACATAAAATATATACATAAACACACACACACACACACACACACACATAT